CCACCGATAGATTTATGGTAATTTTTTTTTTTTGGTAACCGTCGGCCATAATAATAACAATTATTAATACTACCATTGCCCAAGTATAGGTGAACGGTATATAGTGTTGTTGCGCGAGCCCGTTAAACATTAAAAAGTACCTACTGCAAGTGCAAGAGCCGAAAAACGCACGTCAGCGTCAGCTAGGGTGAATAAAGAAATTTGAAACAAAAAAAAATATTCTTAATAGCGACATTAAAGATTTACACCATTGAAGTTTTTACTCCCCATTATGAGCAGCTGGCTGAACATAATTAAAAATCGCGTGCTTTTTGAGACAAATTACGAGCGACCCAAGTTACGATTATACGAACGATTAAATTCATTAACTCAGGGGATCGAGAAACAAATTGCAAGAAATCAGTGTGTGGCACTTAAATGTAAGTATAACGACAAAATCATTAAAAAAATAAAATAGCAAACTGCCTCTTACAGAGTTCCGTTATGAGTACTTCTTACATAGGTATGTAATCTTAACGAATGTTCACCTTAAATTTAAGTTTAACACAAGATTTATTGTAATAATAATTATAATGTATTCATTGTACTATAAAGCTAGTAATAATTATTTTATTTAATGCATACATATATATATATATATATATATATATATATATATATATATATATATTTGATCTATAAAACAGCTCTAAGGGTTTTGGTAAAAAACAACGATTCCACTATTAAACAAAATACATTTATACAGTTATAGCTATAGTTCTTTATTCTAGCAAATATAATTTATGAGATTTATTGGAAAAAAACGATCAAGTATACAAATTACTACTACGGCAACAATAAAACTTATCCCTAATTCGAATCCAGATTGTCTACTGAGTTTTGTTGAGTTCTTTCTACATACCTATATTTCTTCCAAAACCTATAATATTCCTCACTTGAACATTATGACTAGTTCTCTTGCTTTAACTATAAGACGTAGATTTTTTATACTTGTTTATAATAATTAACTGCTACATTCAATAGAATATTTATTATGTAGCTGGCGAAAATACAATATGTAAATTATGATTACAAGTTACAACTAGAGTAAGTTACGTAGAAATAGAGTGAAGCTTAGTCTCCTGGTACTACTGTCTATACTAATAATTACAATATATACGACTAATATCGTTATTGCCCGAAGCGGTTCGTGTATATCTACAGGAGGTATGATTACTATTATTGTGCCTATCAAAGAATCGCTGATGAAAAGAAAAAATAATGATTAGAAATAACGTATTTCTTTATTGTACATGCGAACGATGCTATCTGCAGAGCCTGCTTAGCGCTCTGTTGGTCAACACTGCATATTATAATATTATTAGTTATTGCATACCTACTCGTATGTAACTATAATATTGAAGTGTTCACATTATTATCGCATAATGGTGCACAAACATTACTACACTAATATAACTGCAATCGTTGGGCCACGCATTGCTGTGCAACAATATGGTTATGTCGTCCATATCGCGATGACGTGTACAACACCGATACAGGTTTTATCTACACGGTTGATCGTCGCTCTGCACCGAATAGACCCTCGTTTGTCCAACCTATGTACATGGCGGAGGGTCCAGTCGCGTGTCGATTCTGTGGCGTGCCGCCGCTTTCTACAATAGTTTTTCTCGCCCTCGGTGCTATTAACACGATTCATAACCCTTCTCCACCCTCGCCTCCCCTTTTATCACACCCCTAACGAGTCGCACAAGACGTTTGCCGAGTCCGATAACAGGGGACACGGTCGTCGCCGTTTTGTTGATTCTGCGACCGTTTGGCCGTGATACCGCATACCAATGATATGGTAAATGTTGCAGTACACCCTCTCCCTTACAATTTACCCGGCCACTCCTCGCTCGTACACACGCTTAAGCGATTGCACGCTCTTATTATGCACAGTATACAAATCGAGTCGACTTATATATGTATAAATAATATGTACAAACAAACAGAATATGTTTCCTTTGAAATAGCTCCCAAGTTCCAGGGACATGATATTTTATACGACATCAGAGCTGTTACGGGTTCACCAAATAGTCCATTCAGCAAAACGTTTTTAATATTTTTAAAAATATGCTGTCAAACATTTTTTTAGTATGCTTTAACGCGAAATTTAATGTTTCAAACATATTGTTTAAAAAAGAGTTAAATAATGGTAATATGTTCGAGCCGTTGTCCGTCACAACGTTAAAAGCTCGCGCCAAAACATATTTAACAGAACATACTGGAAACATATTTGACACATTTTTAAAATATTTAAATGTTTTTGCTGTAGTATAGAACACATAATAAAATCAGTCAATGTTGAGTCCGGCGTCTCGATATCAAAAGACGGATACACGAGGCTGGTCCTCGGATATGTAGTTAAAAAAGTAAAATAGAAATTAGGCTTGGCGATAATTTAAACACCGTGATAGGTACATATATATATTATGTACCTATATTGAAAGTGTATAATATTTCATGCTGAACGCTGGCTGTATTTACACACGTTACACGTACCTACATATTGAAAAACCTAGAGACAACTGGAATAATATTAATATTGTGTAGGTATCCGTGTTGTGATAATATGATTTGTTTCTATCAATAATTCAAATTAATTTCTATCAAATTCAATTCTATTATCGTGTACCTACATATTATATAAAATCATTTAGCCGAATGAGCTCGTATCGCCGTTAATGAGAATGACTTTATTACCTATGTATTATAACTTGCAAAACGAACGTAAAATAGGGGTAAGGTGGCAGCCGTATTTGGTATTTGCAAATTACTTGTTTCTAATACTTACATTAATAAGACGGAGCGCGGAGGAGATTTACCGTAAATGCATCAATCATAATAATATTTATCCACAATAAGGGGTGGAAATGATTTCGCGTTTCGGAAGAGGATGCTGTCAACTTAATGAAAAGTAATATCTTTTAATTATACTCCTCTGAAAAGATGCGGAGTAGAGAAAAAAAGGAAACAACACAGAGGCAAAAGAGATGATCGGTTTGAATATTAAAACAAATTGTTATTAATATTACCACCGACCGAAACGTCTTTATACAACGAAAGATGTAGTTTCATTAATTTTCCAACAGACTTATTACTCGCAATTGCTCCCCCGCCGTTAGGTAGGTACACGGCAAACTAATGTTTTGCTCGCGACGCTTAATGAGAAAATCCTTTTTCATTTATTATAATTACTATAAAGGTACACTCTTTTTTTTTTTTACAAACAAATCGGTTTGGTGTAGTATATTTCCTTGTGGATATTTCAAACTGCAATTAGCAAAAATACATCAACATTCAAATAATACATTACAGAGGCGCAATAATAATAATATAAATGACACAACCGGATAAACCACTACAGGCGACGAAAAGTGATTTCCCCATCGTGGTTTCACGCCCCACGGTTTACCTACCCTTGATATATTGTAATTAATGTATTTTATTTATGTTCATAATTTAGTGGTGAATGATTTTATTTAGTGCAAAATTAATTTTAATGTTTAATTTTATTTAGTACTCATACCTTAGGTATAATATATTTGTATTATTGTTACTAATATTTTAGTAAATAAACCCTGTTTCCCATTAGAAAGGAGCAAGGAAGAGACGACGCGACCGTCCCCTGTACGGGAAAATGCAAATAATATGTAAAATTGTACCTATAGAAAAAAATACAAATTATACTATTTGAATTTGTATAAAAGTGTATTGCAATAATTAAATAGTTAAGTATAAATAATTTGTAATATTTTGCTGGTTTTGGTGTTATGGTTTCATATTGAGTATATTAATATTTTACTTATTACTACGTTTATACGCAGTCACTGAATTCGATAATTAGGTGCATACAAAACGTGTATTTGATGCGACTTAAAAATTTAATTCAATTTCTCAAATCGAATTAACTTTTACTCCGGTATTAAAAAAACACTTTAAATATAAAAACAATATAATATATAGAAAACTATGGGATAAACTAGAATGACAATCGTTTTTTTTTAACATGGAACATTAAATATTCGAAATAATTTATTATTTGTATAAACCCGTACACTAATGCGCATTAACTCAAGTTATATTATTATACTATTATATAATTATAACTATTATATTATTATGTTATTACCTACCTCTTACTTAAATCATACTGCTTAAAACAGGTTACATTTACTATATGAGACATATGACTTCGTGGCGCAACGGTAGCGCGTCTGACTCCAGATCAGAAGGTTGCGTGTTCAAATCACGTCGAGGTCAAACTTTTGGCGTTTTTTTTTGTTTTTATTTCCTTCCGTCATCTATATTTATACATCATTACACCTTTTTACTAATTTGTGTTCGTAAATATGAATGATTTAAAACAACAAACCAAGTAATAACGTTATGTGTCTAGTGGCAATGGAACATACTTTATATCTATATATAAATTATAATTCATATAATTTCAGGTGTCTTAAATATGTGTGTTAAATAATAATACACAGCTATATGAAATGTGTATAATATTTAAATAATCCCATGTACCATAGTATTGTACATTGTAATTGGATTAATTTTTTAAAAAGTCGGTAATTAAGGATTTGAGAATTGTATAAAAATGTTCAATGAATATTATACATTATAATGTAATCTAACATATTAAACAAAATCGTAAAATATTATTTTAAACACTGCTTGAAAATTCAACATTGAGCATATATTAACATGATTTTTATTAGGTATTCATGCAGCATGTTGTACTGAATGTTCCCTATTTACTAATATAGTCTAAATTTTGTTCAAAGCAAAAGTGAGAAATATCATTATTGTAATGAGCATAGCGCCTATTATTGTCCAACAAAAAGTATCTAAAAAAAAAATTTGTTAAGACGATTTAAAAACTCAATAAAATTTTAATTTTTGCATGTAATTTTGTCAAATGTTACATGTTTTTTTTGTAACTACTTAATTAAAAAAACGGCAACATTAAAATATTACAGCCATATAACTACATAAAAAAATGTATGTGAAAGTATGTATTGTAAAATACAATGCCAAATGCTTTATACATCTTGAAATATTAAATTTCATAACTACTTATATTAATAAATATTCCTATAATCAGTCGTGTTAATGAAATTTGATTATATGTATCATAATATAATGTTATTGCACATTTTTGTCTCCGATACTAGGATCTCTTTCTTTTGCTGTTTTAATATACATCTTAATCCTTTCAATTTCTTTAGTCAATGAATGCAGCTGTAAACAACAAAAATATACAGTGTGAAAAAAATGTTTCCTACTTATACAAATACTGCAAAAAATAAATAACTTTTATCTCCATCTATATTATAGGCTAAATTATAAAAAAAAAATTAAATTACAACAGAGTGGTGTCACGTATTCACAGTTAATACTTAAAAGACTATTCTGTTTAAGCGTGTTTTCAGTTTTCAGAAAAATGAAAATAGGTATTTTTGGTTTTTTTTTAAAGTGTAATGTTTACAATTGTATACCTTATCTTCTTTTGTTTCTGTAATATTATTTGTATTATAGTCAATGTGATATTCAGAGGAAAGAGACTTTTTAATATTTGCAACTTGTTTCTCAATTCGCTTTTGTCTCAATGTCAATAAATTATAGTATTTTCTATATTCTAAACTGCCACCCTAGAAAGACAAAAATTTCATTCAAACGTTTTAAAATATTTAAAAAGAAAAGTACTTAATAATTTGATTTCTTATACTTTAATCAAAAGATGTATTTCTGAATGATCTCCAGCTGAATCCATAATCGACTGAGAGGTGAGATTTGGCGATTCGGTAGTTAAATACAACGAGTTTACCCCAGATAAAATTTGAATAATATTTTTAAATTGCTGTAATAATTCATGATGTTTTGAAACCAAAATGACTGTAAAAATAAGTAATAATAAAAATTAATTATTTCATTAAAATTACATTTTTTATAAATTTTACATTACTTTCTGATTGGTCTTTACTGAATTGGTTTAATGATCGTACTCTACGTATCACAGAAATAATATCTTTTACAATTTTCATATCAAATTCTAGTTGTTCGTTACTCCATTTTATGTACTGAGTACCAGAATAAATATGTATTATTTAATTTGTACATCTATATTAAATAAATAATTATAAATGAGGTATCTAAACACTAACTTCGCTAGATTTTGGGTAATCAGTCAGTTCTAAATGTAGTTCACTTTTACCAGGTAAAACCTGATAAAGAGTTTGTGTTAAAAATGGCATTATTGGACTCATAAGTCTAAACGAGGTATCCAAAATATGAAGTAATATCTGACACGTTGTTTGGATTTCTAATTCCGAGCCTTGTTGAAACACAGGCTTACAGACCTCCTGTATTATTTAAGAATTTATCATTTATTACTTACTCATGTAATACAATTCATTATTATGTACATCAATTACCAAAAAAATATCGCAGAAATCATTATAGAAAAATTTCTTAAATTCAGTTGAAGCTATATAAATATTGTAAGTCTCCAGAGAAATATTTGCTTTGGAAACAACATTTGCTAGACGACTTAAAATCCATTTTTCTGCAGGCGTAATGGGTTTTGGAGAATCATATTCCACTACATTTTTTTCAGCTGCCCACATCAAAACGAATCTTGATGCTTGCCAAATTTTATTGCAGAACATACGATTCCGATAACATTCATTCACATCAAAATGAATTACTTGATCTTAATAAAATAATAAGTAAATAAATTCAAGAAACTGTAATAATTACCATTATTGTTTTATACATTATCATAAAATAATAATTCTTACTCTTTATGTTATGCGATACTAAGGTTAATCGCAAAGCATCAGTACCACATTCTTTAATACCATCTGGAAATAATTTTTTCTGTCCTAATAATGCTTTTTCTAATTCACCAATAGATATTAAGCCAGATTTCGCGCTATCTTGAATTTTTTCTCGAAGGTCCTATAATTAAAAAAAAATGTATTAATTTATGGTTCATCCAAATTATAAATTGACACTAGTCTTGATCAGTGATGGGTAAAATTAAAATTGTATAATAAATCATTTTTAAGTTGCGAATAAAATTATTTGTAACTCGACAAATAATTGATAATCTGTTATTTTAATACCCAAATATTACAGGGGTATATTTACATTTTTTTTTTTTTTGGGTGGGGGGCTGAGTCACTAACTCCTAATAAAAACTTGACAATATTAAACTTCTACAATTCATATCCTATCGGCTCATAGGCAGACTAAAAAAAATTCGAGGGGGGAGCTGGAGCCCCTCAGCCACCCCTGCCAAATAATAAAAGATGATTCGTAATTTATTGCTTCTAGATTAGACAAATTATTAGAATAATACCCAACACTAGACTCTTGATATTATGTTTTTAAATAAAATATTTGTAGTAAAACAATTATCCTTAAGTTACCTCAAGTGAAATTCCTTTGATAACGTCATCTGGTTCCACAACATTACCAACACTTTTAGACATTTTTCTACCATGTGCATCACGTATCATTCCGTGCAAAATCACATTCTACTCACAAATACCAATTTTTAAAATAAATTCTCTCACAAATATTTTTTATGATGATCGAACAAAACTAAACCTTGAATGGAAGTGTTCCAGTAAAATATGTTCCCAACATTACCATTCGAGCAACCCAAAATGTCAGAATATCGTGACCTGTTTCCATCACACTCAAAGGATAGAATTTCTTTAAATCTTCAGTCTAAAAAACATAATTTTATTATATGTATCAGCATGAATAATTAAATAATTATTTGTATCAAGTTTAAACCTCGTCTGGCCAACCAAATGAAGAAAACGGTAAAAGGGCTGAAGAAAACCACGTGTCCAGTACATCTTCTTCTTGTGTTATTTTTAAATTTTGTATTTCATCACGGGACAATTTCATTTTGATTTCTAATTTTTTAATGGCTTCTTCTTTGTTATGAGCTGCAATCCAACCATATTTAGTTTCGAAAAGCGGTAATCTATGACCCCACCAAAGCTGTCTAGACACACACCAATCTCTACAATTAAAAGAAAAAACATTTTTTTAAATTTTTAATATTTACTTTATACTTACATTTTTATTTTACCTTGAATTATCAAGCCACAGCAACCATTGATTATGATAATGCTCTGGCTCAATTTTTAAATCGCCATTTTGAAGAGCAGCAGACGCCTTTTGAGCCATATCTTTACAGTTAATAAACCTAAAAAACATCTTAATAATATTTTATTTAAAGTATTAATTAAATACTGAGTTGGCAAAAACCTGGGTTTTATTTTTAAAAGCCCAACCATTTTGGTATATTTTTTAGTTTATATTTATACATGATAAAAAGCCATTTACAGTTAAAATCACAGCCCCACAAAAAAAATATTAGCTTTTCGATAGGCTAGACTTGTTGATGTTTAGGTATTTTGAGTCGGTGAATCCAGAGGACAGAATAAGTTCAATTTTTTGAGGTTAGGAAAAAAACAAGAGCTAACATCAGAAATCTAACCTCTGAATCAGCAACTCACAATAAGAATTGTCTGGTCTGTTGGAAAAACTACTTTTTTTGTGGGGCTGAGATATTAATAGGGTAAAAATAACCGGAGTTTTTATTATTGGTTTAAAATTTTTTTGCTTTGATTAAATAACATACCATTGAAGTTTTGGTAGGTATTCAATTACATCACCAGTACGACTACAAAGTGGAATCAACATTTTGTGTTCGTAAGAACCTCTAAAAAGGTTCATGTGTTTCAATTGTTCAATCACAGCCATTCTAGCTTCGAATCTTGGTAAACCCTAACATAATAATAAAATTATGAACCCAAAATCAATAGTGGTGTGTCAAACTCCAATCGAATTTAAGGTATTCTATTTAGTTTGAAAATCATATTGACCATTAGATGCTTTTAAACAGAAACTATCAAGTTTATAGTTTGATTCTATTATCAAACTTAACAAAGAAGAAAATTAAAATCTCAATTATTTATCGGTCCAATATAATTTCTCCTAGCAGTTCTGTCCGGTTTAAATAACAGAGTTTGTCACATAATTATAAATTAAATATCAACAGTAAACAGAAACAGTCAAACTTACAGTAAATTCTTTATATTCACTAGTTATATCACCTGATTCATTGATAACATTGATGATTGGTAAGTTATGTTTGTTTGCCAACTCATAGTCAAAAAGATCATGAGCCGGCGTCAGTTTAACAGCACCTAATAATAGAATAAATCATGTTAAACATAACATGTAAATGATATTATATTATTACAGTACAACAATTTACACCAACAGTTAATTATTACCTGTGCCAAAATTCATATCAACAGATTTATCATATATTATTGGTATAGTACATTTTCTAAAAGGATTCCATACTGTGGCGCCATCAAGTCCTTGGTATCTTTTGTCATTAGGATGTACAGCTAATGCCACATCTCCTAAAACTGTCTCTGGTCTAGTGGTCGAAACTACAATTTCTTTATCTAAAATTAATGTATTTCAAGAGTTTATAAGAATAAATTTATTCAACAAGAATGAAAAATATGCTAAACACAATAAATCGATATGTCAAGTAGTATGTATATATTTTTTTGTATACAGAATTAAATTTAAAAAATTCAATAGTTTTATTGAATAATTATTATAAATCATACAATGAAGTATATTTCTAGTCTATTTCTATAGCTTAGATACATCACAGTCTCTGTTTTGTGAGGTGCAGAACTAAGACTAGCTAATATATAAATGGAACAAAGTTTAAATACTATAATGCTCATGAAAGTATTCAAAATCATTAAGCTATACTTACCGGAGTTATTTAATTTGTATGCAATATCAGTCAGGACTCCAAATTCAATAGGATGTCTACTTCCAGGTACCTTAATGTATGTTCTGCCAACAATTTCACGATGAGAAATTTCTATATCGGAAACAGTAGATTGTAGAGAACAGCACCAATTTACTAGTGACTTTTTTCGGTACAGAAGCTGATCATCAAATAAACGTATAACGGCTTCAAAGACAGCTTTGCTTTGTTTCTAAAAAATATAGGAAAAATCAAATTATAATTAATTATTATTATTATAAATATTTATCAACTATACTCACTTTGTCCATTGTGAAAAATTCTCTATGCCAATCTAATGTAACGCCAAGATTCTCTAATTGTTTTTTAATAATAGACATTTTTTCATCTTTCCATTTCATAACTTCTTGGTTGAAAGCTTGTCGGCCTATTTCTTGCCTGGTAATTTTTTTTTCTGCAAAAAGTTTCTTTTCTACAACTACTTGAGTAGCGATTCCTGCATGATCAGTACCCGGAACCCAAACAACATTTAAGCCATTCATTTGACTCCTTAATAAAAAAAATTAACAAATATTATATGAATGTAAACAATTTTTATGTTGTAATTAACTAAATTTTTACCATCGAGCAATCACATCTTGGACTGTTGCTGTGAGTGCATGACCCAAATGTAGAGACCCAGTGATATTGGGAGGTGGAAGAATGGCTGAAAATGTATTAGTGTGTGCAGATAGGGGTTTTCGATCAATGATGTTATGAGATTTTGTTTTAGACATTTCAACAAATTTTATATCATATTTAAGTGGTAATATCTGATTTCTTCCTGTTGATGTAATAACATGTTAATGTATATAGCTTAATAATTATTTAATATATTTACTACTAATTATACTAGCCATGTTTAAAATCGACAGAATAATTGGAATATCCGATTTTAAGTGGTTTTTTAAGACATCTATTCCTGTACATAGTGTTTGGTATTAAACTATCTTCTATGCTCTATACTATTAAGCACGATTCATTTGGATATTTAATGTTTATTGTACAAAAATATCTGTTTTACAAAATATTATTAAAGTTAATTAATACTTATTTATAATATACCGATATGGGACAACATTTCATACCAGCTCTAGAAACTAAAGCCGAAAAAGAACAAGTTTAAAGTTTTAAAAAAACGTGTTATCTTATCATATTTTATGTTATCACTTGTCATAATTTATAACCACGGTCTTATATATAAGACCGTGCTCATAACCATAGATCACTGAACTCAATATATTGAGATCAGTGCTCTAGATTAAAATATATACAATATATTATCATTGAGTGTATATATAATATATACTCAATGTTATAACTGTTATCAAAATTGATAAGCTATGCTGAAAGCCTGTGAAATGTTTTACGGTATTTTGGATTAATAATTAAAAATTTAAATAAATTAAAACTGAAGATAAATATTAAATAAGCACTGAATAATACAACATTTATTATTTGTATTGATTAATAAGTCTTTACTCTTTGAAGTCTCTTTTACTCTTTTACTCTTTGAGTATCAATTTTGTAAGAAAATCACTCAAGTTTAAGGGAATTACAGATCTAAATAATAAATAACCAAGAAAATGTCATCCAAGTAAGTAGTCCTAGTTATTGGAACAATTTTTGTTCATTACCTTTTTAGACATATTATTATTATTTATATATTTTACTATCTTTGATTAATATTAAACAAACCTTTTTTAGAGTAAAAATTGGTCAAGGAGCTATGGTGTGTAAAGAAATCAAAGTCAAAGGACCAGTAACTTTTGGCCCTTCCACTATAGTTCATCCTGGTGTTACAATTATAGCTGAAGCCGGACCTATTGAAATAGGCGAAAGTAATATTATTGAAGAATATGTCAGTATTATACACAAGTATGTAGAATGTAAATTTTTTTTTTTAATGTTTATTTCAAACTTACTCATTAGCAAAATATAGCATAGAAGTGGGTAGGCATCATAGGCAGTTACCTAGGACGATAAAATTGTTTGATGGTATATCATTATTCAATTAAAAACTGAAATCACTATGCAAAATATGAGTTCGTCAAAATGTCTACAATTATTTTATTCGTCATTTGCACAAAGATGTTTCATCCTTTTTACAGACATTTTTTCACCATATTAGATGTCGTCTGTTGACTGATTTATATTTTTAACCTTCAGTGCTCAATTATTGAATCTATTTTACAAATTTTTTACTGAACATTCATAAAATTGTATATTATACATTAATTGTTTTTGCACAGAACCATTCTCGAGTAGTTAAATTACTTTTTTTACAATTAAAATATAATTTAGTGTATATTTGTTTATATATTCAATTTAATAATTATTATTCTTAAAAAGTGTATAAAACAAAATTATTATTATCATTATTATTGTCTTAATCATTTAAGTGAAGTCAGTTTTACCTTATAACATGTGTACACCTTGTAATTTAAGATATTAAGCAATTTATAAGTAACTCAGTCTCACTTTAACATGTCAACGTAATAATTATGAGTTTTGTTTTTTTCTAGATTTACACCTGGAGCTGAACAGTCTGAACCTAAAACATTAAAAATTGGTTCTAACAATGTATTTGAAGTATACTCAACCGTCGAAGGTGTTAGCAATGTAGGAGATAATAATATATTTGAATCAAAATGTATGTTAATTAAATTAGCATAGAATTAATAGTAAAATATTAACTATTAGCATTGATTGTAAGTATTATAGATGGCCCACCAAGACAAATTTCACTTCTGGATGTCGAGTCTATAATATTTATAATCGAAGCTATTAGACTAATAATGTTACATATTTGTTCCATTGCTCAATTTTTGTTAAGGTTATGTTGGCCGTGATATATCAATTAGAAATGACTGTATAATCGGGGCTGGTTGTCGTCTAACGTCTACTATACCAATTGAAGATGGTATATGTGTGTATGGAAAGAACTGTGTTAGACAAAAAGCTTACTGCAAACCATCGGTAATAATATTAGCTTAAGATTTATATTTATGTATTGATACCTTACTTATGATATCTATAAGTACTTGATGGTTACTTTTTGGTATCTTATTTTCTTATTATTTTTTCAGGTACCCGGTGGTCATCGTGAATTTTTAATAAAACTATTACCGAGCTATCATCTCCTCAAGAAAAATAGAAGTACAGCCGAAGGAAGTTGATCTAATTTTAAGTTAAAGTTTTTGTAATAAATATGTTTGATATTAATTTTGTAATAGTTAACATACATTTTGTTTGCTTAATAAAAGCACTCAACTTTATAATATCAGACGATAAGTGAATTCAGTACCAAATAACTTTTAACATAGTGAAAATTCATAAGTATATATTTTAAGAAAAAAGTAATAAAAATAATGCCTTAAAATAAAATAACTAATAGCTTTTCTTTTTTATAATGTCAATAAGAATAGACTATTTAGTCTATTCTGTGCTTTAACTTCGTTTATCTCAAAACACGGTTTTCTAGAAAATGCCCTTCTTGCATCCAGCCTCACAATTAATATACTTAATTATCAATCAATATTACGCGAACCTTTGAAAAATAATAAATGTTGAACTATTCGGTGCATATTTAACATTTATTTTCAGTTTTAATTTTGAATACAATTTTAATTTTTAATTATTAATCCAAAATACCGTAAAACATTTTATACGCATTCAGCATCGCCATCAATAATTTTGATAACAGTTATGACATATATCTATTGTATATTTAATCCCCAATAAAAACCTAACAGTGAAAAAGGGCTTAAAAACGTCTTTAATAGTATACCATTTAAGACCACCTATTATACAATTATATTATATTTTAAGAACAGACATAGACATCATGGAATAGTAAAATACCTTACTCATTTTATTATAAACGCCTACATGGCACGGTTAATAATATCCAATAAAAACCTAACAGTGAAAAAGAGTTCTAGACTCTCTCCTAAAAAAGTCAGCCTATCAAAGTAGTGATATCCACATTGTGGCTGATTCTGCCATTTCTTTAGTTCATAATCTCATTCACTCCTACTTTCATGAGCAACACTGCTCTTTTGTTTGTATTGCTTAACACTTGACCAGTTTCTGAATAAAGCATAAAAAACCATTACCGCCAATAGTACTCACTTAGGAGTTACGTGAGTGATGGGAAGCAATAAAAAACCTTCACAGTTTACTTATTCGGTATGAAGAAATCAATACAATATTCGAACTTCTTATATTGAAGTTCATGGGCGGTTATGAAGTTTTCAATTTTTTATTGTAATTATATTTTCATACATACATACATAAAGATAAAGCGGACCACTTAGGCTGTTCACCCACCATCCGGCATAGCCATAAGTGATCATCGTTACTGAATGATTACTGCCATTAAATGACAACTATCAGTAGTCTCACGCTCAGGCGAATAAACTAGTCTCATCATTTTCCAGATCAGATTTGCACCTGGAGGGGACGATGCATACTTCAAAAATGATCCTGTGAAAGTATGATGTTAATTGTTCAACTGATATTTTGACCCGTATTTATGGTAGTACTGCACGCTTAGGGCCGTGTAGTATTATCCAAACCGGAACCCGTTTTTTTAGGCTCACTATAAAGTTTTTGACCATTTTTGCGAACAAGGCCTAATACAAAATTAGAAATCGGTTATACGATGTAATCAAATTTTTCACACTACATCAAATACTATACGAATTAAGCACTACTACAAATGTGATTTTTGAAAATTCTTTTCAATTATCGATTCGGTCAAATGCAATATGTAGTTCTTCATATTATACTTAGATCTCGGAAGAATTTGTACATGTTATCTACAGGCTCGGATTAACACTAATTATTTTAAGGATCCTGAACCAATGTATTACATTGGGAATAAACGGCAAACACATGACTATTACAGATAAGTATTTATATTTGTATTTATTTTTAAGTTGATTTGACAGTTATTTGAAGAATAAAATATTACCATTTGCAATAATATAACAGACGATTTACTGAAAATTATGTTTTTGATGACAAGTTTTGAATAACAGATTTAATTATTACTTGTCAGATGTTTAAAAGCGTGTAGTCTTTAGACGTCAAGGGAAAGTGTTAATAATATATTATATTACTATTTTTATCTTGCACTATAACTCTTTACATTATATTATGATTGTATGTAATTCACACACACAAGCTTGTCATTTTCTTAAAAATCTTTTCACCAATTTGTAAAGTCGGCTTGCAGACTTGGAAGTCCATGCTCAATTTAGATGTACTCGTAGTTATTGTCAACCATTTGGAGAATTATAAAAATTTAAAGGGTTGATACTATTTTTTAATTATTTTTTTAGGTGTCCCGTAGCTAGTTAGTTTTTCCAATATTATAAGAGGTATCATTTGTACGCGCAATCGTCAATCACTGACCTAACCGACTGGTAAAACGTTAAGTAATATTATTTAAAGCTTTTGGCAAATGTGTATTATTTTTATATTTCTTATAAAAGTCCACGTTGTACATTATTGTCAATAGACATTAGACACGACTTTTGGAATATTAAACAGGAGTGTTTTTCTTTAGACAAAACGAATCACTTAACAGTGTTTTTAAAACAGTTATATTAGTAGGAACTGAAGACAGTTTATTTGTGTTTTATTCAATTCAATGGCTTATGTCAATGGTAACGGATGATCATTCTAAGTGATGTGTGAAGATTTATTAAATTTAAATTGTTCAGACGTTCTATCTCGTTCATAGAGATGTTGATTTTTAAAACAACGATCGATAATGATATAAATAATTATTTGGATACGGACAAATATTATATTTTATTTCCGGAATCCAGAACGCCTGTGGAAAATGCAAATAACGTTCAAATGACTGCCGTCAGAAGTGTAACAACAGTGCACGTTTTATAAGGATGATTCCAAATTATTTACAACTGCGCTTAACGCCGTACCATTTAAAAATCGACGTCCATAATAAAATCTCTTTTAATAGCGTCGTCACGTGGATCCCTCGTTAGGTTAAGCACGCTTCAGTGAGATTTGAATGGATAAAAAACAGTAGCAACAAAATCAAACTTGCAGTTGGTTCGTGACGTATACAAACGTTGTGTAAGCGGCCCAAATTTATTGTCACCAGCACATAGCGGATTATACCAATGACATTATTTCTAATGGTTTTTCAGCTTAAGCCTAACCCGTGCAATTCGCTGTGTCTGCCAAATCGTACGACGATAATTTGTTACACAAAAGAGACGGACGTTAATTTATACGTACACGCTATTATAAACTTGTATCGTTTGTCGGTCATTCAAACCGATTGTGGTTGCATAGTAATACTCGTAACAATTAGATGTGCCCTGCTCATCCACGTAAGTCATCAGCTGATGTATCGATCGTATTACCCGATAGTAAATACATGCGAGAACCACTCGATATTGTCTATTATCGTGATTCTTTGACAGTTAAACTCAAAATCAGTGCTCGAATTGGAAAAACAAAAGTATGCAGACGTTTTTACTTGAAAATAATGTACCCGGCATTTTTTTATCCATAAAAAAACCACCACTTATAAAAATTAATAGGGTATGCTACAATTGTTGAAAAAATAATTGGGGTACTCAAACCCCGCCCCCTCTTTAATTCGAGTAATGCTCAAATTGAATTTTTTTCAGAACGAACTGTGTATTGAAACTATTATTGCTATTGCCTATTAGGTATTATTCAACAACTAAGAACACAAAATTATTTCAGAGAACGTGTATTTAAAAAGAATCGCACTACCAGACCGCGCGTGGGTACATATTATTGTTATAGTCTTTAAAATTTTTTATTTCCCTTTATCGCGGTTCTCATACAAAATTATCCTGCTCGTTTACTACGCACATCATAATAATATCGTCTGCGCGAATATAAAAATAGTATAAAATATAATGCTTTTTATTCCCATTTCCGCCACTTGATTTATTTCAGAAACAAACAAAAAAACTATGTATATATATTTATTATACCAACTATTCAGTGAGATCGTTATATTTATATTTAATCCGCGTATAGTACCTATTGAAAATGTCAAAATGATAAATTACTGCTACTAGTTTTGATAGTTTATGCTTCAAATATTAGAAATGTGAGAATTTTAGTTTTAATGTTAGAGGAGACTTTTCCGTAAATTAAAAATACCACTTAAAATATAGGTGTCATCCAAATTTTGTCAAGACACGTGTTAAAATTATTTATTTTGTTATCACTTTAGTGTAGCGAAAATTATGTGTTGAACACTCAAAAATTCGATGCGTCGTTTAATGTAAAAATTAAAGATAATTGTTAAAATAACATGATACTAATAAGATATGAAATACATTAATAAACATAAATAAAATATTGTAATGACGGAAGTTGGTTTTCAAAGTTTTTGGCTGTTTAGTTTTTTTATAGGTATAAATTAAGTTTTAGTCACTGAGGTTAAAAAAGTAACTTATAACTTATAGTTTAAAGTTACCAAATATCAATAATATATAACTTTTAAAATTTTTGTAAATCGACGGTTAGCCCTCCCCAAAATAAAATCCCGGCTGCGCCACTGTGGCTGGCACTCAGTTCAAGGAGGAAGTCTGGAATGATATTATGTGTACATTATAATATAACTTTCATTAATAATCAAATTAGAGCTGTATAAAAAACTTAGTTTTTGTCTCTTCTATAATGTCTAACCTAAGCGTTAACATTTTTCATATCGTAGACTATTAAAAAGACTTACCGTGTCGTTGCGTCAAATTGCTATTTTTATGTGTACTCAAAGTGGATTTATAAAGTGAAAAACGTACTATAGTCAAGTTTCACACAGTAGTGCGTAATTCGATTTATTTTTTACCGTACTGATCTCCAAATACTTCTCTCTCGTTTTATAAAAAAAGTTTTTTTTCAACTTGACAGTTCCTCTCGCTCACTCTCTGTATTCCGCGTGGACTATAGCAGCAATAGATAACATAAATCGTTGTTATTTTTATATTATAGGGTTCCGCATTTTATTCAAAAATTGCATTGTAAAAAAGTATATTATGTTGTTAGTTTATTATAATAAATTAATGAAAGGGAGTATTCAAGTGATGAACCGATCACATGCGCGGTTAAAGCAGAATAATAAGATAACATAGTAACATTGATATCTGTTGTATTGAAACCTTTGCATAATATACGAATAAGGTAGAATCAATCAAATAGACGTGTTAGAGTGTACCTACTTAATTTTGGTATTTAAATTGTATTACAATTTTTAAACCGGTAGATCTATCTAATTAGAATTTGAGAGGATATTTTTATAGAAAAAAAAAACGTATTCTACTATCATAATATTATTGAAACTTGAAATTATACCCTTATAGTATAATAAACTGAAATTAGGTACATAGAATGCAAATGATAATTATTGTAAAGAATACATTTTAAATACATTTAAGTACAAATATACATACACATTTGAAATTGTGTAAGTTGTTATGATAATCGTCAATAACTCATTTGTACAGTAGCCGGGCGTTAGTCTTGAAGTCGAGGAGACGACAAAAAATATCGTGCATATAATGTGTACAAAATATGCATTATTTCAATTAAATATAGGTATGTTAGGTAATTAGCCATGTAGATAAGTGGGTAGGCATCGCCTTATTTTGTCTTCTAGATGCTTCATCACTGCATTTGTACACTAGTTTCCTCAACTATTTGGATAACGGGTATATGAGTATAATTTTGGCAAAGTTATTACTCTTTGTTGCATAATATTTCTTAACGATTATTAATGATATCATGAAAGTATAATTGGGTTTTGTAAAAAATGTGACCTTGCGGTGAACCGTTATGGTGTTACAATAATTCGGTCCAATTGTCAGCAACGACGAGTGTTTTATTGGATATTTTTGGACTTTATTTGGCTAATTTCAACAGATTTCGAGTGTTCTCCGAACCCTGTACATTGTGCGGTTACCGAAACGTAAAGGATTCGCCATCGCAACAGAATAAGATACCAAGTTGGTTACCGCGGAATAAAATGTACTGTATTTTTAAATACCGACGGCTAATTTTTTGCTTTGTTTTGTTTTCAGATACCGACCTTGACGTCTACGTCAAAATACGGAATGTATGAGCTTTATATGCCTCAAGAAAAATGTGGCTTCGAACGTGCCAACCGCCCGCGCCAGTTGGTCGACCGGTTGGCCATTGCGGATCCGTGTGAAAGAATGCGTTTTCCGGAAGAAAACAACGGCCGGGACGGTCGCCAAACCCGCGTGACGTAGTACCACGTCTTTAGGAACCTTTTGTCTCGGGTCCGTTGTCCCTTGACGAATACGTCCGTTTTATGGCTTTATGGTCGTACACCGGCAACGTCACGGCGGCAAAATGCGATTGAATTTGGCCGCATAATTGCGTCTTGGCCGCAAATAGACGTCGGGTAAAAATAGCCCGCCACGTCCCGGCCGGTGCGCGCGCACCCGCGTCTATTATGTTGGCCACCGGCACCAGCTAAAAGGGCCCCTATACAATTATAGACATCGGAGTTCGGACACACCGTACAACAACAGTTACAGCAACCGCCGAGAAACCACATTGACTAGAACATAGGTACGAATCGTTTGGAAAAAAAAGGTAAGTCGAATACACTACATTAATTATTATAGGGTTAGGTAATTTTGATAGCTGTTACTTTTGCACATAACAAAAGTGCAAATTACGTTTTGAAAAATATTATTTGATGGGAATATCCGGATTTTTTAATTTTATTTTTTATCTAAATTATAAAATACAATTATTGTTACAGATAAATATCATAAACTTAGGTATACATTTTTTACGCTGGCGGAGGTCTGGCAAAAATTTCAGTTAGATTTTTTTGTAACATGTTCATGATCCAATGTCTTTCCCAGTAGGGAAAGATTTTTTATTATAATTTTTTCTTGAAATTATTATGATTTCAAAATACTTTGTTATTGTTTAAAACACTTTAAAATTAAGTAGTGCATGTTTATAAAATATTACATTTTATTTTGTTTTATTTAATAAAAATGTGCGCCCATGAAAAAAAAAATTAATTTTAAAACGCTTATTAAGTGTTAGTTTTGTATTCGTTGACGTAAATAAAATTGAGTAATATAATTGGATTAACCTATAAAGGATGTTTTTTTTTGTCTGTATTTAGATAGGGCTGATAGACCTTTTACCTTTTAGGCTATTTGCGCCTTTACTTGTATTTATCTTTTGTTTTTAATTTTAATTTTTCAATGAATATAATATTGTTTTAATTAAATAAAACATTATGTGCCTCAGTTTGTTTTATGAGAATTATATTGTACTTCAGTAATCTGTTTAATAACTTTGTGGCTACATGTATCTAAGGGTTTGTATACCTATGTATGATGATAATTAGAAAGCTTTATTTGAGTACAGATGATAATAATCCAATTTTTTAATAATCTTTGCTCGTTATACTGCTGGTATATGTGTTGTATTATCTTAATAAAGATTAGTAGCGTGATACAATAATAATTAAAATGTGCCTTTAGTAGGTCAACCTGTAAAAATAGACGGTCGTTGACGTTTATTGTTCAGTAATTTATAATCAATGAGTATAAAAATAAATGAAACGTACAATGCAGCTAATGTTATATAAATATATTGTATCATTTATATTGCTTTCAGTATACAAAATTTCCCGATGGGCGTAATATGGAGTCGACCGGCAGACTTGCCAGCTTTGCCAGCTCCGGTAATTACATTACAGTTCACAAAATCTAACTAGTGTCTAAAATGTATTTCCCTTTTTTTAAATGGAATATAATTTGTTTAGGAAGCTATTATTGAACAGATGAGTGAAATAACTCCAACGGAGCCCGATCTAAAAAATCCTGATGAATTTGATACATATATAACCAGTATAAGAGAACGGCGCCATGACGCTCTATCGGCAATCAAAGCTGAGATGAATCGGTTGAGAGCGTGCAAGGAAGAGTTGGAAATGGTAAACAAAGAGAAGACAGGGTTAGAGCAACAAGTCAAAGCACTCAAACAAGTGGCTAATATAAGCAACGATATGCTGAAAATCAGAGAAGCTCAGGTACTATACAAAACAAAATAAATATTCAAGCGAGTTCAAAGTAAAATTGTAGTTGTGTTTTGTAACAGGTGACGGATTTGAAAAAACGGTTGCAAGATATGGAGTCACATGCGGACGAATGCTTGTCGGACTTGCGAGTGGAGTATCAGAAACAGATAGACAACATAAGGAATTTGCGTCAACTTTATGAAGAAAGAGCGGAAGCGGCCGCCGTGGGACACGAGCGTGAAATGAGCAAGGAAAGAGCTAAAAACACCGCGTTAGAGGCCAAATTGGCCGAAGAACTCAACAGCAAGCAGGGCATGAATGATTTTATCGTTAAACTGGAAACGGAAGTACAAGGAAAACAAGTCGAGTACGAACAAATGAAAGCCAAGTACATGACCACATCGGCGGACAGGATGAGTTTGGCTTCACAAATGTCTTTGGTTAACAATTTGTTTTCTACGCTACTATCCGGTGACGAGGGTCCAGATTTTGATCGGTTCGCTCGTATGTTGGAGGAAAACAGAGAACTAATATCAGATTTGACTTTTAACGGCGACATCAATGAAACAGCCTCCGTTTTAATGGACATTGCCGGTGACACGTTGGAACGTTCGGAACAAGCCGAATGCACTTCGAGTCGCGAAAAAATAGCTTCAAACTTACCCAAAGTTTGGAGGATATTAGTGGAGTTGCTTAGCCATTACGACGAGAAAACCGCCGAAGACAACTCAAAACCAGAAGACAGAATTGGATCTCATGTCGCCTCGGTGAGCAGAACGTTTTTGAAGTTAAAAGATTTGATTTTAGAGAAAAACGCTCTGGTCAAAGACATTGGACGACTGAAAACGCTCAACGATCATCTCGAATCTAGACTCGATCATCAACAACAAAGGCTTGCCGATGTAACTACCGAATTAAATAAAGCGTGGAACGCCGTTTCCAAGCTGAATGATCAACACAGGAAGCTGCACACCCACGAACAGATTCTTAGATACGAACTGCAGCACAAGAGAAACGTACTGACCGAGTTGAAGAAGGAACTGGAATATTGTAAAGAGAAATGGGACGAAGCCAGAGTGAAAAACACACAGACGGAACAAGATTGGCAGGTTTTGCGTGAGGAGTTCGCCCGTCGTAAATGCAGCACTTCGGTTGAGAGTGGATTCGACGAAGACGACGACAGCCGCGTTGCCATTGCCGACAGTAGTTGCAGTAGTGACGACGATGAGAATTGGCTCAAATCATTGTCCATGGACACGCCCGTGGAATCGGATTCCGTGGACGAAACTCAAACATCTTCGAAAACGAGTGGTCTCAAAAGACTAGAAGAACAAAACAGGTCGTTACTCAGCCAGATGGTTCGCACATCTCGAACCAGTGATTCCATCAATGAACGGTTAAACGAGTTACACCGCCAATATGGCCGCTCAAGTCGTCCAGTCTCATTGGACAACGAAGAGACGGCACCATCGGAGACGGAAACTCAAATGCCTGAAGTCAGTTCTTCGGAATCAATTATAGTGTCACCAAACGACGAAAACATAACTGCAGAAGTAGTTTTAGAAGTTCAACGACCTAGCACCGAGGAAAGACTTCAAGAAAGCGCGGATGTTCCGTGTGCTGACCCAACAGAGAGGCTTCAGCAGGACTCACCAATATCACAGTCTGAAGAAAGTGTAGACCGACTATCACAAGATAGTGATGTGTTACGACCGAACGAAGCGGAGAGATTGCAACGAAGAGCGGCTAGATTGAAAAGATTAGAAGAACAATGCTTAGGGTTGTTCAGACAGGTAAAGGCCAATTTAAAAACTTTGAAATTAACCACTAACTTTTAAAATAATAATGTTTTTTTAAAATTAACATAATAAGTTACCTGATTCGATTGGAATTGGACTGTTTGAGAGTTAACAAGTCCTAGGATGTGTAGATTCCTAAAAAAACATGAAGAGACATTCTACTAGTAGCTATAGTTTTTATGAATAAATGTTTAAATGTCAACCTGAAGCTGATAGAAAAAGCAGTATTAATAAAATGTGTATCCAATTGAAAATATTAAAAAATAACATTTACATGTCTTCGGTGGGCAGTCATAACTAATTAACTGCTACTGTTCTAGAACAGATTTATATTCTGAATCCAAAATAGTTTAACCTTAATTTTTGCTAAAATTGGTCATGACTAGTTATGACAACCTACTAAAGGTTTACTTTTTAGTAATATTTCACAAAAAAAAAAAACTAAATAGCATAAAAGAAAAAAACAAAAAAGTATGTTTCACGTTGGCCGTAATAGGTTTTTCAAATCAATACAAATAACGACCAGAGTTTAAGAATAATTATCATATTTTGATGGTTAAAGAGTATAAATCGTTTTAAAAGGGCGCACACTAGTTGCCTCCCATCCTCAGGTAGTTGTCAAAATTATATACTAGTTGCCTCCCAAGAATATCTGAATTACCTCCGGTGACCTTTATTTCTTATCGTAATATTTTGAGTCATAAACTACTAGTTTCCTCCCGTGCCAGGTACTCAATATTATTCATCAGAGTTACCTCTCAGGGATATCCGAATTCCCTCCCAACGATCCCTTTTAAACCAGGTACACAGTACAACGAAACTGTACTTATTTTTAATAATTTCACATAAATACTTGCAATCTTTTCTTTTTAGCGTATTACTCATGATTTGCCTTTTTTATATATTATCTGGTAGAGCTTCATGATCATGATTTAAGTTACATTCTACGATTTTCGCATTGGTGTTTACCTTCAAATAAGCTTAGCAAGTTTTTGCAGTACAAGTCCATCGTTCTATGTTATTTATCAGTTTTTTGTGGAAACTGAATTTAAAACCATTTAAAATTTTTAGGGTTTAACTTTTTTCACTTGTCATTTCTTTAGTAACTTCCATTTTACCTAAATGAAATTAAACACCACGCAATTACCGCTTTTTAGACTAACTACTTTAATCTATAATAACATTGATATCGCGATACCCATAGATAACAACTATATCGATAGCCCTCAAACGTTGTCGAGTTAAAAATGATTAGAACATAAAATACTATTATTGTATAAAAACAAATTATTGATACAATTTTTTTGAAATCAGATTTTTTTGGTAGGAAATTCGAATGAAAAATATTAAGTACTTGACACGGGAGGAAACTAGTACTTTTTGACCTAAAAAGTTACGATAAGAAATAAAGATCACCGGAGTAAATTCGGATATCTTTGGGAGACAACTCGGATAAAAAATATTAGGTACCGGCAAGGAAGAAAACTAGTAGTTTTTAACCCTAAAAGTTACGATAAGCAAGGGAGGCAATTCGTTGTTTTTGGGAGGCAACTGGTGTGCGCCCTTTTATAAGTAGGTATACAGTTTATCACAATACCTATTCTTCATTGCTATTTTATTTTGTTTCTCAAAAGAAACGTTTAACTTTTTTATGGTATTTCTAAGGTAAAACTTATTATGTCTCCAGTTTTCGAAATTAATTTAATTACCTACCATTTAATGATTAAAATGAAACTTTTATCTTTTACTCGTAGAGTTTTTTTTATAACAATTATTAATGCTGAGTTGACTTTTGAGGGCACGAGTCTTTGTTTTAAAACTGAAATAATAAAACAATTAAGACGGGTCTATCAGTAACACTTGAATAACTTCACTCTAAAACGAAACATGTTTTGTTCAAAAACTTAAGGGCTTAGCGAACTGACAGTATAAAATCGGTAGGGAATAGTTTACGGGGTTGACAAATTCTCTGAACAGAGAAGCCTATTGGGTCTCCTAAAAGATAAATAAAGTAAAATATTAAAATATATCCTGATAAAGTGAAGCAAGGTGACAAATAGAGTGTATGCGATTAAAAATTCTTAGAGTAATGTGAAAGGAAAATTGCATAATACTCAAACGACTTCGATAAATACATGAAAATAAAAATAGCAAGAAGCAATGGCATTATGTGGAAGTTTAACGCCTTTTCATACTCAACTACCACAAAATGATTCCATATATATTATGTAGTAAAGCTTTTGAACAATTTTTTTTCATTTTTGAAGATGGCATTTAAATGTTCAGAAAATTTAGCTTCATCATAAGCTTCCCTTCCCCTCTGTTCTCTAACTATGAAGGGCCCAGACAATAAACTAGAGACGAGTGTATTATAATAGATACCATGTAGTTGTGCCAAAAACATAGAAAACTAGAGAATGTAGACAGGAATAGTTTGAGAAGTGGGAAAGTAAATAAAGAGATGAGACAAAGACCGGAGTAGATGGATGTCATCAAAGGGTAAACGGAAGCGTGTAAATCGTGATTAGGTAAAGAGTCGGTGATTTATCGCGAGTTCACTACTGTTAAGTGTTAACTCAGCTGTTTTTCCCATGGCGTTCGTTTTCCGAATAGCGTTGATTTAAATAAACGGCAAAAACTTTCTCTGGCGCGTTCCTTTTTATAGTTTGAGTTGGGCTGTTATTTCATATGTACAGTATACATTAGTTGTATGAGGGCGTTCAAATATATAACCTATTGTGTGTGTGTGTGTGTGTAAGTCTCTATATAAATTGTATCAAGATCGAAATTCGAGTTATTCGCTTGGCGTTTTAGTCTCTCGTAGACATCACACAAATTAGGAAACTTTTACTTATCCCTGAGAACAACGCATATGTCTGAAACGTACGTGTAGTTGTTGTAAAAAAAACCTATGTGTTTAGTTTGAAAACTATTTTTGATGGTTCTTATAGGATCGTTGTTGGTTAACGATTTGAGTTGGTTATTTTTTTTTGCAGGTCAGCGAAACGAACGCCAGAAGCGATGAGATCTCTGAAAGATTGGACGAAGTCCACGCCAGGCAAGTAGCCAGATCCATCGAACGGCAATCGTCGATCACCAACGCGGCCCAAGTTACAACGGCAGAAGACTCGTCTGAAAGTGTATGACTTATAGTTCTATTAAAAAAAAAGACAAAATTGAATCAAACGGTACTACGTCTGAGTTTTATTACGTTTTTTTTTTAATATTTATATATATAATCGAAAACTACAGAAATGACAGCCGTCGTCTTACATGTGATAATATAATATATTATTATTTTGAAAACTTACAAGAAGATTATAATTGCGCACAAACTTTTCCGAAACACATCTATATTTAATACTATACTACAATATACTATAATAATATGATATAATATTATTTCACTATGCTATATTAGCAGTAAGTATAATATAATACTCAAGTACAATACCATAAAATAATAATTATTGTGCCACTACTGCTACTGTTATTATAATAATTAATATAGAAGATAATTATCCTTCGAACTATGTTGATTACTTAATATTGTTGTAGTAACTTTTACGCTTATGATATATTTGTTAAAAAAAAGTGAGAGATAATGCAAATTAATTGTTTTGTTGTTATTTTATAATTTTTATTGAATTATATCATTATTATTATTATTATTAAATGGTTTAACCAAATTTATTTGTGATTGCTATCATTTTTTCATCCTGATTGATTTCAGTATACTTGTACTTATAATTATTTAGAGATAAATATGTTTAATAATTTCACTGATGGTTTTTTGCGACACGAATTCTACGGCTGAACGTCAAACACGGTTACACGTATTGTTATTATTTTGTGATGGATACAGACACACAGTATGCTAATATGTATTAAATGTTTAATTGAGCGCATGAACTTTGATGATATTTTAATTAGAGAAAATCACGCAAATTAAATACCGAAATTACTGTTTTTTTGGATTTAACTGTGGTATGTATTATTATTATTATTACTTTTTTTTATATAATGAATTTAATAATTTATCAACAAATGAGTTCCCAAACGTCAAAGCGCCAAAAGAAACCCATGTGAAATATGTATCCCTCGAATTTTATAAGCGTCTCAATTTATTATTATTATTATAGGTTTATTAGGTATAACTTGTTCTACTCGGCACGTTATGTACCACGAAGGCTGGATATAAAATAATAAAAATATTACATGGAACACTGCAGGTGTGTATCACATGAGTTTTAATCTCGAAAAACAAAATTGCCTACGGTAGCGCTTAACAATTATAGTACTTAAAGATATAATAATATATTTTGTTATAGGTTTATAGACTATTAATAATATAATTATTTACTAATATCCTAAATCGCTACACGCGAGAACACTCGTCTAAAATTGTATATACCTAGATGATATAGTTTAATATAATATATTATTATTATGTAGAGTTGAAATCTAGCGAAGAGGACGTCTTACATAATACATTTTATTTGCGGGTAGGTATGCTTGTCAAAATGGCCTTATAGGTGTTTTGCTCTTTCGAATTTTTTAAAAGGGACAAAACAAATTAAGAAACTTTATAACCTAAGAGGCGTATTGGGTTAGGGTTGATGTGTATTGATTTTTTCTAGCTTAGTCGAACGATGTCTTGCCGAATATGAAGTTGCCCAGAGCGGATTGATCTTCGGATGCAAAAAATTCCACCCAGTATTTGGCGAATTCGTCGCGAGACACTTTAATTGTGCCACCCTGTAGACAAAAAAATATAACTATTAAAACAAACGTTGTTGTTTTTAACTGCCACTATTATTCGCAAACGAATTGGAGCAATTCATCAAAATATTGAACACGGACAATGGCGAAATGCTACATTGTATATTATACGGCTATTACACTATACAATACGTGTACAATTACTATTATTGTCGTTTTGTAGCCGCGACCGACTACGATGCTATGTAATTATGTATAGGTGGCGTGAAAATAATAACACACAAAAACGTGACATGACAATAATTGAATACAATAATATAACGATAAAACTAGCCCTGTTGAATAATAATGTGGCAGCGAGCCATGCGATTTTTTTGTCAATCGCATACATCAACAGCAGCGTTCGCAGATAAATATTTTTCACAATAGTTTTTGTTTTTTGTATGCGAACGGTTTGTTGTCCTAGTGGTGAGCCCGGTAGGCAGGGATACCCTCGTATATTTTTTTACGGGACACCGGTGAAATGTTTTAAAAATTAAAATACTATATAAGTAATATAGTATACATAACTATACATATATATTATGTAGTGTACGTGATACCTCGAGTAAATCACAACTGTGCATTGGTGCTTAGAGAAAACATGGTATCTTATTATAATATTGCGACGCCTCAGTTTATAGGTCCAACCGGCAACAACTAAAACATGTTATACTATCTCATTTGAAATCATTATGTTCACATTTTGATTTTCAATATTATTATGGGTCTAAAACATTTATTTTTTTATTAATACAACTTTACACTCAAGTGTCAATATAAAACGATTTTAAATAAAATAAAATTAGTTTATCAACAAATCAGACACATCAGATTCAATATCTGAGTCACTTAAAAATACGATGGACGATAAACTCATACGAGATGTCTAAAAAAATATAATTTATAATGAAACCGTTCTACAAAATTGCTAGGGAGGAATATGGATAAATTATTTGAGAACTCATCTGAGATTAGGTTAAGGCGAAGATTAGTTTCGAGGGTCAGGCCTGTGGCTCTCACATAAAAATAGTTTTTGACACGAACTTAAATCAATTTCGCAAAATGATTTACTGTTAAATGAAAAACACATACAACCCCAAGGTATACTCATGAGCTGTGATAGAACAGAATTATATTTATTGAAACATCTAAAAGCAAAAATAATGGGCACCCTATTATAAACTTCTCGCAGCGTTTATTGATTTTCTTCGTAGACAGCTTAAATTGAATTAGTGTATATTAAGAAAAAACAAACGTTAGAAACAAAAATTCAATAATCCAATTATGTACCTATGCACTAGCCTACCGATGAATTTGCCTACTCAAGTGTAAACCCGGAGGGCATTTAATGTTGAACGAAAACTCAATTTCGCCAAACCGACCGATGTAATGTTCTGGGAAAATCATCAAGTAGTGCTATTTCTCGAGTTCACATAATGGTATCGTATAGCAATGTTGAGTTTATCCCATGTACAATAATCAGAGATGGTCAAAGTTTCATTTAAATAGTTATTCGTACAAAAAGTTGTATACAATAATATTTGTGTTTGAATAAACTTAGATAAACTTTCTAGAAAAATAATGCCCAAGTCTGATAATAATATTATCCTACAGAGCATATAATCTAATAATGTCGAAGAAAAAATATATAAACGAGCAAGGGAGGGATAGCGTGAATTCACGGTTGACCGAATGTGCTAAAAGGTTTAAATAATTATTTTCTATTTGAAAATAAAGTAAGTAAAACTATCTTGTTACATATAGATATGGATTGCATTACACTCGTTTTCACGTTCTTTTTAGACCTATACATTTTTCCCATTGTTAATACAAAGCTCTTTCTTAGTTGTACAACAAAACTGTGCAAACCTTTGTAAACTTTTGGTATGCTTCAGAAGCCTCTGTGGGAGACACTCCGTTGCTTTGGCAAACTTCGGTGAATTCAGCTTCGTCGATGGCTCCATCTCCTAAAAAAATAAACGCAATATATTTGTTTGAATTTGTCATAATCAATAACAAAACGAAGAAGTTTAATAGTTAATTTTGATTATTTTGTTTAATTAATCGGTAAAAGAAAAACACAAATTTAATTTAATTAAATAATTGTATTAACTATTATATTATTTTAGGATTCTTTAATTACACAGAAGAATTGACATAAAGGTCATTCCACGTGAAATCACCTAATGAATGTGCGACTATAGTTCAAAAATGTTTGAAATGTTTATCACACATTACTTATAGATCTTTATATCGTTAATGACAAAACAATGTGAAACATTTTTTAAAATTTTTTTTGGACATACATATTATGTAGTTTGATTTAAAAAAAAAATTATCCAAAAACACTTCTTGTTTCTGATTCTGTAATTTAACCATCGATAGTGGTATAGGCATTAAGGACCTATAAGTACAAATTTCAATTATTTTTGAACTATAGTCTCACACCCATTAAGTGATTTCACATGTAATGACCCATAATTGAATACCAATTTGTCTAAACAGGTCAACTTACAATATGGGTTTAAATTAAAGAATAAATAAATTTACATTTAAACCGCTCTTATTATGGATTTGGGTAGGCATATCAATTTTATTTGGGACAATTTAACCCATCAATCATGATCATTATCCCGAAAATATCTCAAATACAAGTACGTTTAGGTTTCGATTTAATAATTTAATTTTTTTCTCCAATTTATTATCTACACCAATGGCTCTGGCATTAGTCAACGATAATTTGAGAGATAATCCTTCTAAAATTATATTCTTGAAATAATAGCTTTAGAGTATCGTAAATTACCACTGTTATTTATTCAATATTTGTTTCAATATCATTATTTGTTATTAATAAGTACGATACAAATTTTGTAAGTGCAAATAGTACGCAAAGAGTCAGCAATTTTTTAAATTTGTTTTTAAGTTATTATTATATAACCGTACACTTAGTACGGTATTAACACACTCGCAGCGTTCTCTTGAACTAGTTCAAGTTGATGAAATAATAAGATAACAATAAGGGGCGTTATAGTAGTTGGTAAGGGGTGACGTTTAATAACGCAGTGCAGTGATATGGAAATTCGAATGACAATCGGAATTCTGCTTAGGTAATCCTTTACACGATAACAACAACAAGAATTCACTGAGATGTATGCCGGAATGTGTGCGAGAAAATCGCAAACCATTTTTTAATTATAATACAACAAGTATTTTGTAACGTTAATAATTAAAACGCCGAGATGAATTATTGCACGAAACATAGGTACAGCTATAGCATAGACGGGTAGGATTCTTGTGCAAATAAACAATCATAGTGAAGACACTCGTTGAATGCGTTTTAATTGCTATCCGTTGCTCGCTACCTAAATAAATATTATAAAGTATAAAAAACCAAACATTTTAAATTAAAAGCCATTAGGAAAGTGTTTGACGTAACATCCTAATCGCTATAACGACTAGAAAACCAAATAAGAAGGTAAGCCAAAATCGGTAGTTTTGAAAATTGGTAATTATCAGATTTACGTTATAACATTTTACACCGTTAAGGGTTAGAGCGAGTAGAAAATTATTTTTAGGTATAACTATTTCATAAAAACTAACCAACATATTTTAGATGGTGAGTTTAGGTAAGCGTAAAATAAATGACGGTTTGCATATTATTAGATACTTTCCTTTTACATATATAATATAGCATGAAGATGATTGATTACAGTTTACATAAACGCATTACTTTGTAGTAACGTGAATCGATTTTATTTTTAATACTTAAAAAGTTTCAAATGACAGACCACAATGATGGGGATGAACGAAAGGTGACTATTTTTGCTAGTCCGTGTTAGATTTTGTTAAAGTATATTGTCTGTATACTTTTGATTATTTACAATAAAACCAATTATTGCATTAGTTCTTAACAATACAATGGTATATTGTATACTAGCGTTAAAGCGTTTAAGCATAATTATTTACTAATTATTTTTATAGATTAAGCAATATTACAGTATTGCTTACCTGATGTGTCGACGAGTTCGAACATAAAATTCATGTAATGTGTTTGCCAATCTTGCGCTGCGCTTGGATTTTTGGAAAATTCATCCCACATTGCGCACCATTCTTCTTGAGTCACCTAATTGCGCAAAGTAATAAAAATACAATTTTAAGAACACACTAACAACTGTAATATAAATATAATATAATGCGACACCGATTGATAGTAATGGTTTTAGGGGTTTTATGGTTGGATTTATAACTTTAAGTTATTTATTTTCCTCTGCATTGCATTTTTCTAGGAATCCTGGGTAAACTCCGGTTTAAAAAACTATGTATTTTGCATAGACAAGCTGATATCAGCTTTACCTACGTTTCCATTTGGAGTATGTACTACTTCAATTATTTATAAAAAGTATGGTTACCTATGGTATACACAAGTTTCGATAATTTCTTACATTTATCAAATATGTAATCGAATTTTTTCAAATACATTCTGGCATGATGACTGAATATAAAAATATTTATTCTTTATTGTAGTAATCTTCTTATCTTCCTATACAGACTAGGTAAAAAAGAATTATAATGTATTAGATTCTATTAAATTTTTAGCATACAGTATAAATAATTAATTTATAATGGAAGTTAAGAAATTGTTTCTAGGGCATTTCGACATTTAATACTAATTATGAATACATATACTTAAAAATTAGTCAGGTTGCAGCTTTAAGTCGTTAAATTTTAGGAACGTGATATGTGAGTTCAAATTTTTATTGAAAATGGGTTGTAGTTCTAATATTTTAATAGTAGTTTCGATGAGGAGCTGAAAGGGGGTTTGTTTTTACAAGGTTTTTTTTATTTGACTATGACATCCGTGACATTTCCTTAACTGCTGAACTGATTTTTTTAATGTAGCAAGTTTATAGGTCAGATATCGCACTTAAAAGGTATTTTATTGAGCCAAATATTTGAAAAGTTCACTTAATAGTCAAGAAAAAATGGGACATTTTCTCGACTGCACGGAAAAACTACAAATGGCTCTCTCCTCCCCGTCCCTCAATTTTTATTTTTAATTTCCCTTTCCTACTTCCCCTTCTTATTTCATTAATCTCAGTTATAATAATTTTTACAGTTCTGTGACTACATCGACCTTAGTATGATCTGTTCCTACTATGCTGGGACTCCACTGTGCTGAGATTTTTAAAATTTATTCTTGTCAAATTAAATGGTTATGGTTGTAAGTAACAAAAATGATTCTTTGGCGATCGTTAAATGTTTAAAGAATGAGTACCGAAAAGCTATCAAGTATAGGTACTATAGATATGAGTCTGACATCACCGAATGGATTTGAGATTTCAAAACAACATACAAAATATAGGTAAACAACGGACGACAAAACACGTACGCGACGGATTTCAGAACGTATAGCGTAAGTACAATAAATCAAGAATCCGTGAGTTAAGTGTAAGAAAAATATTTATATAATACGAAATCCCGTGAAACAGACAGCACGAAAATAATAGGTTAACAAAACAATAAAAAGTAAAACAACAATAAATTACAAAGGATTTATGAAAACCTGGAACAAAAACACATCCGTTAGCCGCATGAACGTCCACACTCTCCTTCAACGTCGGTCCTTAAGTTTTTGTAATCTCACACCTTACAATGGAGTACGGTCAACACGCGCCCAACTCAAAGTATAGGCTACTGGGTCGAACGGTTTTGCTGGGTTTTGCTCAAGGGTGATTTCCTCCCTTTTTCCCGAACACTTCCTGTACAGACGTGACACAATGTTTTGCAAGCCAATTCACCTAAAGTCTTGTAATTCGTTTTTCGATGTGAAAAGGACAATGAAAAATCTAACAACTACTGTCGATTAACTTCCTACTATCCCTCCCTTAATCCCATATTTTCAAACCTACCACATCAAATGTATTTGGCCACCTCCTCCATGCGCAAATTTTAGTCAATGAATGTCTTTCTCCAAAAAACATTTTTTTGATTTATTATAAATAATATAAAAATATCATAAACAACGGACATTATTCTTAAATTATATTATTTGAAAACAACTATAAAAAATTATTATTTACAACTCCAAAATTACCTGTCCATCATTATCCTTATCAGCTCCAGACTGCAAGCCATCCCAAACTTTCAACAAACAAGTTCGAGTTTTTTCCACTTTCTCCGCATCGCCACTCCAGCCACGCATATTACAAAATCTCTGGAAAATGTACAACATATTATGACATGTTTTATGTAAAAAAAACATTTTATAGTAAAAATGGATAGAATTTGTATTTATAAATGTCAACGGGTTTGGCAATTTGTTTTCTACCCAACGTGTTGATCTTATTACTATAAAACTAGATTTCAATGAACACAAGTAGTTTTAACATATGTATGAACAGGTTTTTTTAAAAATGTTTAGTAAACCACTACCTATTTTAAGAACCACATACCAATCAATAGAAAATGGTCCAAATGTATATTATTTGTATTTAGAATGATATCCTATGATATTATTATAGGATACATTATCTATATTATATTCAACCGCACACGGTTTTAGTAGTTAATCTTATTATAAGTAACTAAACAATTTGTAATAATAGCATTCACTGCATGTGTCAACTACAATATTTTATCCCATGTTTGATGAGGTTGAGGTGTAATATAAAGTTTACCTTATCTGCTGGGTATTTAGAATGTTAAATATATAAAATACGTTGTTAAGGAATAAAGATAAGTGGTACTCTATACAGGGTGATAAAATAAGACTCTCATTTTTTCTAAAATAAGAGGCCTTTTTTTTATTGCTTCGAATGCAGCAAAAAACTAAAGACACGGCAATCGAAATCAGCACTGCCGTTGCGGTTGTTTAAACTGCAATGCTACAAAATACTATTTGGTATGTTGAGTTCGTAGCAACGATAATTTATAACATCGGTTTAAAGCACTTGTGCGTAACAGCTGGTCTCTAACAAAACATAAATACTATGGTTGCAAACAAGTAAATAAAAAAGCTAAAAGTCTGCATTTAGTTTACAGATGGTATTATTTTTAAAATTAAATAAAATTTAAATTATATATATTAAACTATAAGTCTGTTCAACAGAGTGGCAAAATGAAAAAGGCTCAGAGATTTTTATAAATTAAACCGTAAGCTAAAATATTTATAAGATCGACATTTTATTTAAAAAAGTACACGGTCCATATACAATTAGACATTTTTAAATGAAAGTTTGTTAGTTGAAAAAAAACACTCCTTTTAAACGAATAGATTAAATAATAAAGCTTTAATTTTCCAAAGACAAATCGTTTCACAATGACTAAGTAAATCATATGAGTCGTTATTAAACAATAACATTATTTAGTATTGCATTAACGTCCTTTATATTTTAGTCTCTTTGCCTGAAATATAAGCTTTCAACAGCATATTAATAAATTTACCACTCGAAAAAAAACTATTAAACTGGTGGCAAACAAAGGTCGATTCTTTAACTCTTAGCCCTTATTTAGGGTGTATACAAATTGATTATTGATCAAAAATTTAATTGACAGAGAAATTATATAAGGTTGTACTTTCTTAACTGTTGTTCTGAAAATGTGTAGTTATTTTTGAATTTACCAAATTTTGTATCATAAGAACAAAATTATGTGTTTGTTTTATCTGATTATTATTGCTGTTCCTTGTAAACAATGCTACCAATATTTACAAAAAAAAAAATTGTATTTATTTAATGTGTTTATTTCTATTTTTGTAAAATTAAAATGTTATAACACCCTACAGATTATTATCAATTTATTAATATCATTAATTGTATTTCAAAACAGAATAGCTATCCTAGGTAGGTTAAAAATTCGAATTTCAATTTGATTTATATAAAATAAAAACAGATCCTATTAAAAAAAACATGCCATCTCCAACTCCTTTTTTTGTTAAACCAATAAGTACTAAAATTATTTAAACTGTAAGTCATAATATCATTCCTGAGAGGATCTTCGACCATGATGGCTAGTTTTATTATTTTTTTTACCTATGTAGGGAAACTTAATTAATTTTTCAATGTGGTTTTTAATTGACATAGTTTTACTGGAATCTGCGTAAAACGATTTATCTATGTAACCAATTGTATGTATTGTACCTCTTCTTTTTTCGAAATAAGATCAAAAGTTGATTACAATAATGGCGATTACCATTTATTACGTGGCTTTTATTTGCCAGGTACAACATAAATGTCAAATAATATTTTCCCCTTTTTTCTATACCTTATAACTTTAATATATGACACTCAATATAATTTATTGTGTATAATACATCCAGTACACTATTCAACAAGAATAAACTGAATAAGTTATGTTTACATAAGTATTTGTATTAATCAGTACTTCTACAAAACTAAGTATGTACCGTGAATTTTCCTAAAATGACAAATTCTCGAGAGTTACAAATACATTGTTATATAAAAAAAGAGCCGTCATAAATCATTATTAACAAGTACGGTCGTTGTTAATAAAATTCATATCTTCGTTATCCTCTCGCCGCCATCTCATTTAACAAGCAATAGTTTTATGGTTCCTTCTGTATCCCGAAAATAGCTGACTTAACGTTGCACTAGAGTTTAAACTTATTCCCATTGGTTTCATAACGTTAGAAAATAAAATAAGGATACACGTACACAATACGCCATACCACAATGCTGTCATCCTAAAGAAAAGTATGCTGTTTTATGTTCGAGCCAATTTGTAACAGACAATATTATAGTTTTTAATTTTTACTAATGACATTATCTCTTTAAATATATCTTTTTGAATGATTTTATTATATAATTATATATGATATTGAATTTGGGGTTCCCATTTTTTCCTATGTTTTTATGTAGACAACTTTAAAAAGCAAATTTTTTAATTTAAAAAAAAGTATTCTGAAGTTATAAGTTTAATCTAATCACATTAAAGGGATTTTTTATGGCCATGATTGGCATGTCGCCTAAAAAATTGTAATCCTTAAATCTTTATCGCGCATACCTGAAATTACGAACCTAACTCAAAAAACGTCCTAATAGATTAAAACAAAAGTAATTTTGTATTGTCAAATATTGTAACACCAATCTTTAATATATATAAAGAGATTTATTTATATTATATTATAACATTAAAATATTATTACAGCGTTAATAGTATCTCCTGTAAAAATTACGAATACTTTTTTCAATAATATAAAAAGTATAAAAACAAAAAATAAAAATATTTTGAAAACATCCGCTCCAATTCAAAACAAAACGTTTATAGTCCCTGTCGAGAAAAACGTTGGTTTCTTTGAATAACGAGTGCAAGCATAAAGGGCTTTAAAGTTTAATCCAACCCTACAACTTTGTAAGTGTATTTTTTACTTATTTATTATTCAAATTAAAACCATAATTTTACAGTCTTGTTGTTCAAAAATATTTCTCGTTTGCGACAAAACGTACTTGTGCTTAGCGTTATTTACCGTACGATAAGGACCATTACTTTGAACTTTTTGTATTTTATTTCATACTGGTCTGGGAATTGAGACTCGACAGTTCAAGTGAACTACGCGCAGAATGCAAGTTAAAGATATAGTTTACTGGTTCAGTTTCATGTATATTCATATTTAATAAAATAAATATACACGTGAGTTCTACTTGAACTACGGTATGGAGGATATTTCAAGTTGTAATTTTAAACGTTAAACAATTGTTTTTTCGCATCGAATAATATATACTTAAGGCTCATAATTAAGTATTCCAATTAACTATCAGGTAATATGGCTTACTAGACGTGGAAATTCTACATATCACAAAAAAGAAATTCTCTCCAGTTCCTCGTTCTAATATTTTAAAAGAAGCAGTTCCAAACTTCGGTTCTTCTAAGCACTGTATAATTTTGCATTATAAATGCATAACGTTTTCAACGGCACGCCGGTTATACAATATTGGAAAACGAATTTACAATAGGTTTTTAGCGCATGCAAGACACGAACCGCATAAATTGGATCGGCAATGATTATGCTCGAGCCAAACATAATATATTACTAAATGTGTAAAAGTGTGCAGTTTTTTTTCTTCAAAAACAGGTAAATTCAATCGTTGTTGCGTTGAGGTACATGTTTGGGCCGAGGTCTATGGTAAAAGGAAAAACATATATAAACACTGCAGTGCGGGATTGGGACGTTAGAGGTTGCTGTGTTCATAATATTTGCACACAAACGTTATAATGGGCCTACTACGTCTGCGTTCTCATTAATCTTGTTTTGAATAACGACAGACAATCCCGTTCCGAGGGCAGTCCCCTGCGAATTTCCCGTCTTTTAGATCCCGGCCACATGGCAATAGGGTTGAAGGAACTGGATACGTGTTTGTCAGCGGAATATAAAAATGTGAAATACAAAAATACTTATAGACTAAGGCTTAAGCCGCAACCGTCGAGATTCCGATTTGTTATTGTGCGCCATGAAATATATATTATTATGTTTGTTGCTACCGAAATCGCCTCATCTTTATCATAACGTCATCCAGCAAATCCCCCATGAAAGGATATTTTTCGAGTCGCCGCCGGTGACAAATTATGAACACTACATAACGCCGGTATTTTCATTTATACCATTTGTTTTGTCCATTCGATATTATACATAATATTATATACATATTCACCATTAACAAGGAACATGTATTTGCAGCGAGTAATTCGTTAACAATAGTTTTGAGAATTTGAAATATAGCAAATTTTACAAGAGAACCGTTTTAAAGTTTTCTATTTTTGAAATTGCTTCGTTTTTATCAAAGTGGACTTGTTAGTTGTTATAAATTACCACTATTAATATTTTAACAGTACAAATACTAAAGCTGTCTTAATGGATATACATTTATTTTATCATTAATTTAGTTTTTAGTTTTTTTTTTTTAAATATTGAAGTTGACATATTAAGTTGTTTGTCTATACTCTATATGTTATATTTGCTAAGTTGCAATTGATTTCAATGTAGACATTTTAAATTGCATTCTATGTATATTTAACGTTTTTGTCATTTTTGCACGTTTAGAAATTTGACTAGCTCATCAAATGACAAAAATTAAATTGTGAAAACCTCAATATTCTGTCAGGATAAATTAGCAGAATGGTATAAGATACCTAGTTTTACATAATAACAGGCATGAAATCAATTTTCGAATAAGTAAGTATAAAGTGTTGCAAAAACTCGTCAACTTAGCTTTTCAAAAGTCGTGGAATACTAAAATAATAAAATAGTAAAAAAAATAAAACTATAATTTACGTGGATTATTGAAATATTATTGGTGTAAATATTAAAGTGGCAAAATAAATAAAAACTCTTTACATTTCTCGCGTCAAATTCGTTGAATTTTAGCAGAATTATTCTTTGAAATGTACTTGAAAGAATTCAATTCACAAAGTTTGAATAGTCACCACAAGAAGTTACAATAGGATGCAACCCTCTTAAATATAAAATAAGTTCCTTTTAAGATGATTTGCTAAAACACGTGTAGAAGATATTAATTGGAAGACAATTAAGGAAAACAATTATCTCATCGTTTGGCATTCGATTACAAAAAAATAACGAAAAGAAGTAAATAAAAAATACATTCATCAAATTATAATAAAATGCTAGTTGATATAAAAAAATAAAAAAAATAAAGTATAATAGATACAGAGAAAGAAAATAGTTTTAGGCAAGGAAAAAGTAAAGCAACATTAACTCATCAATAACTCAGTAAAATCTAGTCAAATTATTTTTTAGCAATTACAAGATTTTAAGTTTGATAATTATACTGTATACGAGATCTAGTGTATTGATTTATTGTTGTGAAAATTTATCTTATTTATACCTTCATTTTAAATTGTTACGTATTTTTCTTCTTTTTTTCATTTTTTCTTCATAATTGTAGAAACAAATTGTTATTTACAAAGTTCAAGTAATAATAATAATAAAAATAAATTTACTTAATAGTGCTTTTTCAGCGTATTTAATGTTTTTTTCAACATCTTTAGATTCACCACGCATCGTTTTTTTAAATCCATGTGATTACTTTTATACAAACTGTACTGCCTTTTCTTCATTTTAAGCTGGCCCGACAGTACTTTGTATTTTTTTTTATTGTTACCGTTATTATTATGATTATTGTGTACACATTATTTCTATTTGAAGAAGTTGTGCGACCGAGTAGCGCTTTTAACTATTACTATTCGGTTTCTTGACTAGTATATATTTTTTTTTTTTTTGCTTTTTCGGAGTGACCGTCGGTTTGTTTATAGTTGCCAGTCCATTTAGCCATAACCACCGATAGCAAAATAAAATCGCTTTTTCCTTGTTTCTGTTTTGTTATTGTCGAATTGTGAATTCATGATGCTATATCGTGGCTCTGTCCGTCGCCATTGACAATTGGTTGGTCCCTTCTAGGGTAGCTTGAAGCGTAATACAAATACCTCAGGTGAAATCGACTCCTATGAGATAAAGTGAAATTGAAATTAAGGATTTCAATTCAACTTATAACCGGGAAAAGCTAATTTCGTTGAAATACATTTTGCTGGACAGAATTTTAATAACTGACTAAAAAAAACCATTATGACCATACGCTCTCTTATACTTAAAATTATTCAAGTATATTTAGGCATAAAGTTTCAGTACTATTACTACACTTAAATGTTTAATATAGTTATTTAAGGCCGCCACAATATTGTTATTCAATATACACTACTAATAAATCATTTTTATGAGTATCGTATTTTCGATAGGTGCAAGTAGTTGTGTTTTGATTTTTGGTTATCTTTGGAAAATCAATATATTATAATATGAATTTTATATTAGTGATATTCATGTTATTCTATATAGTTTTCCATACCTACTTTAAATACAATATCTCGGTGTTGGGGTGTTTCTCACATGAATAAATATGAAAAATACATAAGAGGCAAACAATTCAGTATTACATTTTCAAATTAATATTTTTCTACTATCATAAATGATTCATTTTCTTTAACATCACCAGAAAAGATCATTTTTCTCCCTCGATTTTTATTTAAAAATACATAGAAATTTGCATACGTCGCAAAACTCAATGTAAATTAAACGTTCAATATATTTTGGTAATATTTTATTTTTGTAACTCGTATATGAATTTGGTGTTTCCATCTCTCTCACTCACTATTTTACTCGAAAGAGTTAATAGGAAAAGTCTCTCTCTTTATTTTTAGTAGCAATAAAATAAAACAAAAATGTCACTTACTGAAAAACACGTTATTTATGTGCAAGACATATTTTGGCGAAACCGCCATATTGGGATTGAAGAGTAAAAATAAAAGAGCATACAAAGATTGTCCCGAGATTAAAAGATAAAGGAAAAAAAATTGCATAAAATGAAGAACAGTTTGTTCAGCTATAACAAAAAATGGAGATGGAAAAGGTTTTATAACTTCAGCCTATTTACATTTGAACCTTCTGTACTTTATCCTCTGCTGAACATTTCGCACTAAACGTAATTAAAAGACTCTTCCTATTTGTATAGACAACTAAGCATGACAACGTTTATTCAAAGTATTGTTTAGTTATTTCATTTAGAACACGAAAATCTAAAAGAAGCATTTTTTTGTATAATAACTTTTGAGTTTTTAAACAGATAATCTTGTTATACAATAGTATAAATCAAATGGTAACATGTAATTGTACTGAAGAAGGTTTATAAAATTACTCAAATACTAACATGGTATATTTTACAATTTGTCTTTTTAATTATTTAAACCAATTCTCTTTATTTTTTAATGCTGAATAAACTTCATATCTTTCTTAATATACTCATTACTAGTAATAACTTACCTAGCCATTAAAACTTCCCTGTCATATTACTGTGTTTGACCATAAAAAATTATTTTATTTTTCAATACATATTAACGAGAAAAATAATTTTTAAAGTGGAAATTATTCAATACATTTTTTTTTTAAACTAATTCTGTTTTTTTTTTAATTTCTTTCTCATATTAAATATTTATCTCTAGTGCTAAATTATGTTTTTCTTTGGTAGAAGAATATTACACATTTATAAAATAACGGAGTTTTGCGTTGAAAAATACAAAAGTAAATTAATATTATGCCAGTCCATGAATTTTGAGGGTAGGGGAAATGGCATAATTAAAAAAAGACATATTCACAAAATTACAGCGACATAGTGTTTCATTATTTTTTTTTAATGCTTTATCCCATCCATCAGCATTAGTATAGTTGTAATTTATTACCAGAATTAAATTTTAACGACGTCAATTTTGATGGAATAAAAATGATAGCCACTCATCGTTTATTGGAGTGAGACATTTTAATGACACCGACGCTACGACTTGATAGCTTTTTCTCTATACCGGCTCCGGTACAAAGACCGAATAAATTAAAATATACCGGATGTCGGCTTGATTACAGTACATGCACAAATCACTGCACCTTCAGCATACAATTGCAGTTGTATATTTTTATTTTATTCTGAATAATAAGTGGACAAATCCGAATAAAAAATTCAAACTACACTTATATAAATAGTTTTAAAGCGCTCATATTTTTCATCACTAGTTAGATATAAATCTTAAAATAAATAATAATAATACCTAGTTGATATTTAACATTTTATTCGATAAAAATTGTATAGTGCTTCTCGAGAGTCGATAGATATAAAATGTGTATACACCGCGGTTGGTCTATAAATTACAAGTCTTTCTGACGGTTTTTATCTTTTAGCTTCATCCTCTATAATCAATTTTATATATAGGTACCTGCCTCATGATATTCGCCGTACACGAGTTATCTACTTTGGTCCATTTCAATGGAACCCCACAAAACGTTTTCTAGAAATTGATCAAATGATGAACAAAAACCCGACAGCCAACGTTCAATTTGCGTCTCGCAATTTAATAGGTCAGATACAATTTTTTTAAATTGCATAACGCGCTTGTATACCAATCAACTGTGTTTTTTTATGAATATATAATACACACGTGGCGTTCTAGCTGGCAAACTATATAGTGTGAACTTCATCGAAAATAAGTCTGATAAAAATATATATTATATAGAGCGGAGCCACGCTGTTCTTTGAATGCTAAGTAATTCCGTTGCTTACAAGAAAAACCGCATTGCTATTGCCAATACCTACTTAGGACATTTATGTACAAATAGTAAAGATAGTATGAGATTGTTAGACAATTATTATCTTTTTAACTTACATTTAAATGAACAAAATTGTTATAGGTGAGATAATAAAACAAAAAAATGTTTAATACAAAATAATCTATGTAATTTTTCTTGGAATTATCTTAACTTACAACTGGCTCACTGTATCAATAAATAATTATTATTTATTAACTAAAAAAAGAAGAAAATGGAAAAAAATCAATCACTCACTTCGATGGCAATCTCGAAATCCTTCTTGTCTATGGTTCCACTCGAGTTGACGTCTGAAAAATAACACGTTGATGGTTAAACGTTAAATTTTATCAAAATTTTGCTTGGCACATACACGACGGCGTATATTTTATCATTATAGTATACATGTTGATATATACATTACATTGTATATATATATATGTACATTAAATATAGGTTCTTATAGATCCGAGATAAGAAACTACAAGCCTATAAGAGCATTATATGAAAGCCATTTTATAAATGCTCTGGGGGACTACAACTTAAACTAATCGTTATATGGCAAAAAACAAACTCTGGTTTAACATTTTACTATTTTTTTTTTTGTTAACTACTTTAAAAAATATTCTTTATTTGATTATGTCAAGAATTTATCAACTGAGTGTTATGGTTTTAAAAACCAATAAAGATAATACTAATTTTTAATTATTATAAAGGAGAAGGTTGATTGTCTTGCAACACGTGTGGTTATATATTATAAAATATTTTATAAATTTTTAGTTATAGTCCGCCAACTAATTCTATAGATAATATTACCATAGTAGAATCTTGGTGATGTAATTTTTATACTACTATCTGATATTCTATAATAAAAAAATGTATAAAATTAAAGCGGCTGACATAATTTTAAAGAAGGTAAATGTATAAATAAATTGTACTTGCTAAAGGTACCCCCTCAGATGCTTGTTAGCTGCTACTTCTTTTTAACAATATGAGTTATGACTTATGACATAATAATGTAATAATATATATATATATAGGTGTATTATACAAAATCAATAGACAGAATAAATAAAAAAAACATCTTAACGATCTTCGCTTTTGTCTAACAAAATAAATTACTTTACACCACGTGGAAGTAAGTTATTATAATAGATAAAGAAATGTCAACTTAATTTGTTTAAAAGAAGACGTTTTGCATACAATGTCGAGACAGAAAAGGTTTCAAGACAAGGTTCATGACAATATTTCAAAACAAATATGGAAAAGTAATTTAACGTATAAGTTTAAACTATTGAATTATATAAAAAAAACGTAAAATTAAATAGTTTTTATTGCTTTTATGTTATATTGTAACACAATATTATATTTAAAATTAAATTTTCGTTTTAATTTACACCACTAGAGTTTCCATACTTAAAAATAAATGATTATTATTATAATATATATTTTCTTCTTTTTTGTTAATTTTGCCATTTGGTGCAAATAATTTTTTTTTTTTACATTTGTTAAACATTTTAAGGATTTATATTAAATATCTTTTTATTGTGAGAATGTTTTTATTTTTTTATTTTCAGATTATTCCAAACTACCCACGCAATCATTATAATACTTAAACACGAATGAATGGAATATATTTAAATAGGTAACTCACGCGAATTTAACTGATCAGATTAGCTTGATTTTCTAATTAAGCCGTTATTATTATTTTACAGAGCATTTTCTTATATATAATAGGTACAATATTATTTCGACTTTATTTTTAAATAGCATAATATATTACAATAAATTAACTATTTAAATAGTTATATATTGTAGAAAATAAATAATTTAAATGTATATTTACCGAAAAAGACGTGGAACACATACATGAGCTTGTTCTTCCTGAATTGCGAAATAGAAGACATTTTCTTTTTTATACTTTAGCTCGTTGTACTCTTTATCTGCAAAAAAACAAACAAACTGATATGTATCACAATAACACTAATTACTTTCACTTAATTACACCCAAGTCCGACATGAACGCGTACACTTATAATTATGAAAAGTCAGCTGGCAATTAAAATTAATAATTTTCCCGAAATTAGATTAAAATTTTAGCTTAAGAACTACAGCGGGTCGTTGAAAAGAACATTTCACCGCCTTGGTTCAATCAATAAAGTGTTGTAAATAACAACACTCTTGTCTATACTTTATAAAATTAAGTACCAATAAAAATTGATATAATTATATTTTTGCCATACAACAAAATGTAACCACCAATTTATAAATGGAAAAATAAATGATAATTCATTAATGCTTATTGCATGTAATAAATTACAGCTAATTTTGTTTATTATTAATGCTATACAATTTCGAGGAGTACAACAATGTAATATTTACCCATTGATCTATAGAAAATTATGTAACAGTTACATTGCAGATCCTAGAAATGTTACACAAGTTTTTAATAAACCCTATTTGTTATTGTATATTTAAGTTATACAAAAAAAGATATAGCTTAACAAAGTCGAAAGCTTTTTAAGATATGCTTATGCAATGAACTGTTCTCTTGGTAGAAAATAAAAATAAAAAAACATTTTTGTGGAAAATAAGTTTATGTGCTATGTATTTTTTGTAATTGCATTGTAAGAATATAGTTGATGCTTAAAATAGATAAAATAGATGGTTTCTTCTCGAAAAAAATTGTTGTTGTTTCAAAATATGAAAGTTGAATGTGTTTTATATAAATGAAGGGCTGCGGGGAAAAAAGATCAATGTCAATTTTTTTTGATAACGAGATTTTGGTATAAAATTATTTGTATTGATGTATTGTATTTTTTATGACTCGAACCAGGGAAAAAAACAAATTAGTCGAGAGTAACGACCACCGGAAGTTCAAGCATACAGGCAAAATGTATTACGTTTTGAAATTAAAAACATGATTTCCTCAGAATGTTAAAAAATTACATTAATCTTTTTTCCCCGCAGCCCTTCAAATGTTGTCTGTTGTTGATTATTAACAAGGTAGTATTTAGCAGTTCTATAATACTATAGTATGTACAATACATACATTTTTCTCAAACATTCCGTTCTCCATACACATAAAAAATATTAGCTATATCTGCACATAATTCTTAGATATTTACTGTTTTAAGATATCAAAAAACGTATAAATTATGTTTTTGTTAGTTTTGTTTTTATCTCATTACGTTTAAATAGTTGTAAATTACATAAACTAAGAACGAATTTTTCAAGAAATAGCAGCCAAATATCCTTTTAGATTTGTTATAATATCTTAACTGGCTAATTTGGTATGCATATAACTGAGCATTAAGAGAAGAGGGCTGCAATTGTTTTACACAGTAAAACACTAAAAACGTCTTAATCTGGATTTGATAATAAAAGCACCGTTTAATTTTAAAGATCTGAGCGCTGTTTCATCTTCTACCGTTATATAATGTTCCTCTGTGGATATTATGATGTTTGATAAGATATATCCCACTCATTTTTATCTATGACATATTTTATTATTGTTAACTCTGAGATATGACGCTTTCGGAATAAGTCCGTAATTATTAATGTACACGAGTAAAAGCAAAAGCTTTTCCTATCAGCAGCTTTAATATAATATAAAATTACATTGCGTTATTGTAAAACATAGTTCATTACTGTAATGTTTTTGGTCTTTTAAAACAAAACCATTAACGGTTCGAAAATCAGACACTTCATATAATTTTCTGTATCTCAATTTATGTGATTTAATCTAGCAAATTTATACTCAATAATTTGTGGACTACAATATTTGTATATTGACGTGCCTACAATACAAGTTTATTAACAAAAACGTGAATACTTGTATAATAATATACTTAGCGCGCTACTTTTAGCACGAAGATGTTTTTTATCAGGTAGTCACGTTGGTTTCGGTTTTGACTTGACCAAAATGTAGGCATAAAAAAATATTCAAGCATTCAACATGTTATACTTCGTCAATATCATTTTGAATATCCTTTCCATTGTTTGTTAATAAATAAATAATACGCCGTCGACAATAAATCGATTATAATGAATAAAAAATAAGTTCGAACCTAAACGAATTGTTATTGTACTCAGCTTTGAAAAAATACAATATCTCTTTCAATTCATCGCATAAATCATTAAAGTATTGACAGGAACTTCGAGAACGAATTTCAAGCACATTCAAAGCGGGTTTCCTTTTTAACTCGAAAAACTATTATGGGAATCAACCGATATTGACACTATAACTGTTGAAAGTACTGAAGAAAGACGTTCATTTAAGGAAGGACTATTAAGTTGTTCAGAAAAAATTTGAATATTTTGAATAACATTGTTTTGTTTAAGTACCTACTTTTAAATAGCATATCGTATTATTCAGTAGAATATATGACTTAATGCAATATAAAAAGTATCGAATTCTCATGAATATCATTATAAGGTCCACTGAGTTTGACTGAACGTCACCTATATATTTCAATCCTCGACGGTCTCAAAGCACCCGTAAAATTAAAAAAGTTATTTGATTCATACTACCAACTATTTATAAGGAACGCAATTATAACAACACAATGTAGGTAAAAATAATCAACGAAAATGTTCTATTATGCAAATTGCGCACATATTTTTTTACAAAAGATAATCAACATTTTAGAATTAGCAATTCCGAAAACAAGTTTTGCTTTTTTAGAATTAAATATCATACCATTTTCTAAAGTAAGGTTATCTAGATGAAACACATATTTTTATATTCCTTTTTTTTATGAACATTGTAGTTTTACAAATTCTAGAAAAGTATCTAGAGTATATAATATATTAAAAGTTAAAAATATACAGTTGGACCTGATAACAATTGTTTATAATTAATAATATTATGTATTTTTATTTTTTATAACATTATGTTGATATGATGATAAGTTTTATTGTACTTCTAAGTTATTCTACAATTGAGTTTATTATTTTTTATATAATTTCCAAAAGTGGGGTAGTATAACCAAAAGCTGAAGAAAAAACGTTATTCTACCTAACGCATAAGTATTGAGAGAGAATTATTTAAAAAAAAAACCCGTATACTACTGCTAGTTATAATATTACTTCTATAACAAGAATGTTTGGGTTTTGGTGTTATTGCTGATGTGACAGTTTTGCCGCTGCTGTGCGTCGCATGAAAAGGGGGAAATTGAACGCTGCGGCGAACGTTGCATGATTAATGGCTATTTAAAGGTATAGTTTGCCTTATTACCCCAGTTAGACAAGTGGGGCTCACTCTTATTATGCATCGGGATTGCGCAGGAGTTATTGGCCGTTCCACCGCAGCCGCCAGCCTATCCACGACTAGCGATCACCATCTTATTTGATCCTAATGGTCCAGCTGTTCCCTAGACGTGCACCTTGTATCCAATCTAAGTATATTATTACTGACCGACAATATTTACACCACTGAGATATTCGGTGCACGTATATTAGCCGAGTGTTTGTGCGCGTTGAATCGGATATTAAGCCAACATTATTACATTGGTAGTACATCACTTCCAACACACCGACGCAGGATGCAAAAATGTTAACTTATTAATATAATTTGTATTAAATATTGCGTGATCGAAAATATACTGTGTTTCTGTGTGAACTTACTTACTTAACCCCAACCCGTGAGTTGCGTCCACAGTACGACCGCGTCAAGATTGTCATCAGTTTTTTACTACTATTCTGGCGCCTAAATAGTGAATGGTTTTCGTCTAAAAGTTCCCGTTTCCTTAAAAATGTAATTATACAAGTCAAATTACAATTACAAATTCGGCCAGACGGAAATTCTAAATTAGACAATTTATTTCGACCATAAAAATTAGTTAAAATGTTACAGCGGAGGCCACTTATTTGTCGCGGTTAAGAGGATAAAAACGTTCATTTATCATCGAGCAACCGAGTTAGCGATTTACCAAAACTTGGCGGGGAACTACAGATTGGACACTAAAAATCTTCGTTACGACGTATAAGCCCTTGGAAAATTACTATTCGAGAAAAGATGGCATCTTTTGGTAACAAAGAAAACTTAACGTTGAACGCTTAGCTGATTTCTTATTTTTGTTAGAATAAGAGGAGAAGGAGAGTAATGTGGGTTCTAAGGTTTAAAAGCAATTTATACTCCAAAAAAATAAAGATTTTAAGGGTTGAAATTATACATTATAATGGATTAAATCGTATGGGATATTCATGTTTTTATTTAGTTACGTGTTAATACAACTAATTAATGTAGTTTTTACACAATTAATACATAACTAATAAAAAGGCCGCGTGAAGTATTTCACTTTGTCTAGGTGACCAACTAGTAAAACAATTTGTGCATAACTATCCCGAGAAATATTATTTAACTTGAGTTTACTCGTTGATCACAATTAAACAATATACATTTTATAATATAAGAAACAACAAATTTTCAAGCTGTAATCCTAACAATTACTTACTTATAAACCACATTTTTCTAGTGCGCAATCGTAAACTTTTTGTAATTTAATTCGAAACCCATGTACAGCAGGATTAAAGAAAATCACATTAATTGTATTTATAAACGAATTACTATTTTATATAATATAATTCAAAATCGAAATAAAATCCTGTATTTTACGTGCATTACCAAATTAGTTCACCGTTAGCACAAAACTCACTAAACTATACACTATATTTAAATTTACATTAATTATTTAAATGTATTATTAAATGAAAACATAAGTTTGTTTTTTTTTAAATAGTATTGTTATTTTATAAAAACAGGAAACGTTTTCTTTTAAACAAATAGTAATTATTTAAGACTAGCGCAAGTGATAAATACAAAAAAATTATATGTATTTTATTTGTGAGTAACTACTAAAGGAATTTTAAATATTTATCGCTATTCTCTATAAAGACCAGTACAATAAAACTGGATAACTTGGAATACTACTTGTGTCGA